ACTGCACATACACCAAATGCACTCAAGTGTTCAGAGAACACACATTAGGTTTATGTCTATGTGTGTAAACAGCTGTTGGAAATGCCACGGAGAGCTGGCTTGCCGTGGGCCTTCTGCCACTGAAATGTCATGCTACATGTGGGAAAAAAGCTGTGATACCTCACCCTCCCAGAGCCACACACAGGCCGGGCCCACGTGCACACTCCTGCCCGGCTATATGATAATGCCAGCGAGCCACAGACACATCCCTCACGCCTGTTGTCATTAGAAACAAGCCTCATTATACCCCGAGCCTTTGATTTATGATTAATATTCACAAGGGGTGTGGTGATTCGTCAAGCCCCTCCAATCCATTGATTTCATTGAACAAGAAAAACATAGAAGGGGAAGATGGGGGGGCTTAGGTGTGTGTGTGTGTGTGTGTGTGTGTGTGTGTGTGTGTGTGTGTGTGTGTGTGTGTGTGTGTGTGTGTGTGTGTGTGTGTGTGTGTGTGACCTGCTATAAGGGAAACCCCATTAGTGTGGGATCCCAGGGAGATAATGAGTGCTGACTGCTTTATGTCCTGGAAATGATTGAGTGGAACATATAAGCTGTTTTATGAATCTTCTCTGCTGGCGGCTAACAGACTGACAGCACATAGCCTGTTAGCTAACCTAGAGTTTCTCTAGGGCTAGGCTATGAAGGAAAGACACCTAGCATAGTGTGCTATAGCTGCAATTGACTGTGATGCACAGATGAGGGGCTACTAGCATCAGTGATTGGAGGTAAAATAGCTCACGATATGATCTTAAAAAATAAGTGCTTAATCTTTTGCTTTTGATTTACATCTGTTAGCACACATACATCACTTACTGTTACAATAATTGGTCAAGTACATGTATTTCTTCATTTATAAGCTATTTTACGATAGCAGGTGTTTTTCTCACAAAGCTATCTATATTACAAAACTAGTTAGTTGATCCACTGTCTTTTCACGGCTAGCTTACTTACTGTAGCAGTATATGCTAATGCGCTCACACCACCTGTTTCTCCCGCCACCTTCACTCATTTGTTTGGTTTGTTAATGTATTTTTTGTCTGTTCAGTGTTATGCTCAAAATACATGTCCTATGAGTCAAACTGGTAAAGTGAGTACTCCGGTTTAAACTGTCCATCTCTAAAAAGTTAACTTTTCATTGCACAGGAAAAGTAGGGCTAGTACAATATTTACATTACATACAAAGCACAAGTAGCCTACCGTAAATAAGGACAATACATGACCTTCCTTTTGTCTGATCTTGTTATTGTTGTGAAAGAACAGTGAATTAACATCTGACTTTTTATAAAACAGTACTTGGCTGTATGGTTGTATTTTTTAGACGTGGTAGATGGTTCTACACTGTTTTACGTCCAGAAGAGCCAGGAAATGAACACAGCACTACCGAAGCACTTTTGCCATAGATGCTTTTCCCACTCCCCGTTCCTTTCCTCATAAGCATAATTCCCTCTGTGTTTTCTCGTTCACTGCCGCTCTTTATTGACATGTTCCCTCCATGATCAGCTCTCTTTGGTCTCTTGATGTGTTCCCCTGTGTGCCGATCTCTCCTGCTCTGCTTTGGCTTAGCGATTAACCCTTTGAGAGTAAACGCAAGTGTTTGGCTGTGCACGCCTGGATCCCATGTGTGAGTAGTGTTAGCCTGTGTAATGCTTCTGAAGCACAGGCCTCCTGCTCTCCTCCCACTGCTGGAGCCCGGGGGACATCAGGCTTCAACACTCACACACTCATAGGAGGAAGCAAACATGGGAAGATAGGAGTCAATTCAAGCATAGGCACCAGACAATAGATATCAAATTGAGAGATTATATAATTACAAAGATTCCCATATAGATATATACAGTGGGGTTTAAGACATAACGACACATCTAATCTGTTTTTTTCAAGTAAAAAAAAAGGTTCTTTCTTTCTTTTTTCACTATTTTCATTTTTGCTTTTTGTTCTATATATCAATGCACTTTGTAGCATAGTTTTTACCCAGCTGAACATTTTAGTTTGAACTTTTTAGTTGACTCGTGACCTTGAAAACAGTAGTTTGACAATTGAAACTTTTGGAGCTTGACAGTAAACCAAATCCTATTCTATTTAGCACCTACAAATTAAAGCTGATTAATAAAAAAGGAAAAATATATAAATAATAATAAAAACACTCCCAGGAAGAACAAATGCCTATAATGTCTGCATGTTAAAGAGCAGTCTCTGGTTGCACTTAACATCAGGAATGTCAGATATGAAAATCGATTGAATGGAAGTTTCATTTCCTACATATGAGCATCTTAAAATGCCTGACCCCATAATAGCAGTATGATGTTCCAGTGTAGAGCCATCCTCAACTCTGACAACCTGGCCTCTTGCAGTCTTCTGGTGGTTACCCAGCCATGGAGAAGCATTGACCTTTTAGCTCGCTGTGCACTGTATGTACGATGGGGGATAGCGTCCTCTGGGGCGGGGACGGGGTCACTGCATTGCGTTTTCACTTTGACCATGAGCTTGGGTTAGAGTGGCTGCTTAGGGATCAAGTTTGACTCCAAATCATTAGAGGGTTTAAAGCAGAGGACAACTTCTGTGAAAATGTAGTCCCTGGTTTTCCCACATTGCGGGATTTAGCCCGGACACGGAGATGATGCAGTGCACCGCTGAGCTGCAGATTTACCTGGAGAAAGGTGCATGGGCGGAGCTTCAGAGGTGGGAGGGAACAAACGTCATCAATTCTTCCACGCCTTATCCCCCTCCCCTCTCACTCCTCTTCCCCCCTTCTCTCCCCTGTCTTCAGCTCATGCACAGGATCACATTAATATTCCTTTGAAGCCTGTTTCAACTGCAGTCAGATTTCCCTCTCTTCCACTCTCACTCACTTTCTCCCTTTTTTGTGTCCCCACTCTTTTCTCCCTCTTGCTTTCTGTTTCTTTTGTTTTGTGGAAGAGATCACTTTCACACAATTTCTACTCGCCCGTGCAGGGAGGGGCAGTTTTATTACCTTCACTCAGGAGTTCCCCTTGTTGCACACATGCACGCACGCACGCACGCACACACACACACACACACACACACACACACAAAAACACACACACACATGCACACACATCGAGGGTTGGTGGGTACCGATGCCTTTGACAGAGCGTGTTGATTGGTTCAGAATGGTTGCTGCCTCTTGTAGGAGAGTGGAACGGCTATTTTTAGATCAAGGGGTAGCTGGGAGAGAAAGACTGAGGAGAGCTGTGTGTGTGTGTGTGTGTGTGTGTGTGTGTGTGTGTGTGTGTGTGTGTGTGTGTGTGTGTGTGTGTGTGTGTGTGTGTGTGTGTGTGTGTGCGTGTGTGCGTGTGTGCGCACGTGTGCGCGTGTGTGTGTGTGTAAGAAATACTGCAGTCTTGAAGGAAGTTCCCTCTTCACACACACACACATACACACTCATGCACTTATGCAGCAGTGCCCCTCTAAAGCCAGGGTGGTGTGTATTCCATGTGCTGCTTGCTCCCCTTTTTCTCTCCTCCCTCAACCTTTTTTTTGCTACATCTCGCCTCCCCCCCTCCCTCCCGCAGTCTTTCTGTCCCTCTTGTTTCTCCCTCTCTTTCTGAGCTGGCTCAGTGTGCAAATGTCAGCACTCTCCCATTTATTTGCCAGAGCCCAGAGCAACGTCCTGCACCCTCTGTTTACCTCCATCTCCACAGCGCTGCCCCCTCACCACTGCTTTCCTCCTCATCACCCCCACCCCCTTTAAAGAAATCTGTCCATCTTTCATTATTTTCATTTCTTTTTCAATCTCCCATTTTCTTCCCCACCACCCCTCAATCTCATCGCTCCATCCTCCAGCTTCCTTCCTTCCCCCCTTTGCCATCCCACTTTCATTTGTTACACCATTCTTGCCTCTCCCATCCCCTCCCTCCACCCCTCCTCACGTTCATGGATCATGGCACTTCATTGGACTAAAATCATGACATTTCCAGTTTTGCCTACAACTAGCTATCAAGCTATCAAGTTTTTGGGATTAAATCCACTGCACCACCATCAACCTCCCTCCTCCCTCCTTCGGTTTGCATCTATTTCAAGACACGAGTGTGTCCGTTCACGTTTGCCCCCGTTAGATCACAAAACACCTTGTCCCTCTCTTCATCCTCCTCGTCCGTCTCTTCCTGTTTACTCTCACTTTGCGATTCCCCCCCCCCCCCCATTTTCATCTCCCCATGTCTCACACTATCCGTCACTCTATCCGCCTGTGATCACCGGGATGACTCATGTGGCTCGCACCTGCTCTGCAGGAGAGGGGAAGCCGTGGGTTTGCAAGGAGAGGTTAGAGATGATGAAGGTGTGGCTTCACAGGGACTGATCAAAAAGTCTGCATGGTGAAGGTGATGTCAGTGTTTTCTTTATTCACATAGCGGCCATATTTGATTTGTAACATACAAAGATAGAGAAGAAAATATACCAGGTCACACCAGACTTTTTTTATCAACAAGTGCGACTAACTACACTGATGTAGCTTATTGTCACAGGTGTAAATATGAATACAGAAATTCGGAAAAAAAACAACACAGAACTATTCTTCCATGTGCTTGGATCGGAGCGTCTTGGATGTTTCTCCTTTAGGTTTCACCATCTGATCAAAGAAAGATAACTTTGGTGTGTTTCGTCATTTTCTACTTCTGAGGATCAGTTCAGTCTCCCACCATAAGTAATCACGCGTGGCCAACCATTACACAGCTTAGAAAATAATAAATGGTGTTTCTTTTTCTTGAAAAGGGGAACTCAAATGAGTGGAAAGGATTCTCAGGGAAACAAAGCTTCAGTTTCCAGATACCATGATGCCTTTTCCTTTAATGAACTCACTTTTATGACATGTGATGTAATGATAGCAACTGTCTCTAAAACGCTTTGTGTTTCATGTTAGATTGCTTATCAACTGTGTGCTAATTGATTTTCTTCCCTCTCTCTCTCTCTCTCTCTCTCTCTCTCTCTCTCTGTCCATCCAGTTAGTGACAGCTGTTTTCGGAACCTCGCAGAGGACCGCAGTGGCGTCAACCTCAAAGATCTCATCCATGATCCCTCCCTGTGAGTATTTTCGTGACGATTCAATCAAGAGAGTTTAGGACAGAAAACATCAGGCAACACCTTCATTTCTCCAAAGTTAAATCCTTTACCTATCCTTAAATCAACCACACTAAAACATATGCACAGGGTGTGTGTGTGTGTGTGTGTGTGTGTGTGTGTGTGTGTGTGTGTGTGTGTGTGTGTGTGTGTGTGTCGCCCTATGGAGAGAAACTCATTTTTGTCATTAACAGGGATGTGATCAGTGACAAAAGAGCATGTACAATATACAGGAAAAACAATAATCACACAAGAAATCTACTTTAGTGAAATGCATTAGAATTTGATTTTGCACCTTTTCAGAGGCTTTAAAAGCTGCACTGTCAGGTTCGCTCTATGCTCATTGTGCGTGTTTACGGTGTAAAAAATGGGTGGTGATTTCTGCTAGCTTCAGTCATATAAGCAAAGAAGTGAAAATGAATGTCATTTTTATAAATTCTTTCATTTAAATCAAAGCAAACACTTATTGAGTGAAATAGAAAAAAGGGCATGCTTTTCGCTAAAGGCACTTAGACATTACACCTATGAGTATAATGGATTGATATATACTAAACACAGCCTCCACTACTTTGGGAAGGCTCTTCTCAGGAACTTACTCTCATTGAGCCACAAGAGCTTTAGTGAAGTTGGGTGCTGATGTTAAAGGACTGGCTCACAGTCCCATTTCATCCAAAAGATGGGATTCAATACGGTTGCGGTCAGGACAGGATTTCCCCACCAAACTGCTTCTCTGTGGAACTCACTTTGTGCGCGGGAAAAAAAAACCATCCACTTTATGACTACTGTTTATTTCAACCATAGCAGCCTGCAGCTGAAAGAGTTCATGTTTAGTGCCAGCTTTCATGTCACCAAGAGTTATCGTTGGAGCTTGAGCAATGTCAGCTCCTCTGATCAATAAGAGTATTTCATATCAACGCACACATCACATGTAGCCTGTCAAAATGCCGCTTTGGCCCATGGCTTGATCACTACAAACTGTGACCCACGACATGCGGCCTCAGACACGCTTCTGTACACATTGGAGTCATTCCCCATACAGCCATTGATTTGCTGGAGCTCCTCTGTCACAATATCACACGTCAATATCGCCGGAGTGTCTCCAGGTCCCGCGCTGTGGGACCCTGGTCTGATCCATGCTTGTCATGTCCTTTACGCTTACGGTATGTTTATTTTCAGGTCGATGTGTAATGCATGTGTCAACTCTGTGTGACACAAGGAGGCAGTTTGAGGAGGCTTGTGCCATGTCGTGTGTTAGACGGAGCGCCAGAGAGTGATTAGAGATTTATCACAGGCTTATTTGTACAGTTTGCACTATAGAGAAAATTAGAAATGGCTTTGTATTGTTTTTGGTTGTTCTTATATGTCCATGAACAAGCTTTAAATCATGTATGTGAGTTCTTTGAGGCTGTTTTACAGTTGTTGTTGTTGTTGTTGTTGTTGTTGTTGTTCTGGTTAAAGCTGCACATTAAGAAATCATTGTTTTCGAGGATTTTATTCAAGTTATACGACACTTTAACACATGTAGTTTTATTTGCGCTGATTTTGGAGAAAATGTGCATTTTCCATTTTGCTGTACTGCTACTGTACTGTACAATCTGGACAGTAACACATAGCCATGAACATAATCCATTGATAAATTCCTATTGAGTAATTCCTATTGAGTAATATACAAATGTAATTTATAAGAGCATCCACCTTTAGGAGCTCCTATAGTCAAAGTGTGAGGAGTGGGTTGGACTCTTACTCTAACTTTCATAGTTATAGAGAAGTCCAGATGTTTTCCGCGGCTCATGTATCATCATATATCAATCATCACTTTCCTGCTTTCTGGTTGGAAAGTCTGTTTATGTAATGCTTTGTGGCTGGTTCTCCTCTATGGGAAATGAATGGACTTCCAGTGATGGTTGGTGATGTTGGAGTTAAGCTCTCTGGAAGACACTTTGGGATCAGGGTGCTGTGTACCAGTTAACTGAGAGGTGGCTGATGTTGGGTACCACAGGGTGCTGTTTAACATTTCAATTGGACATCCAGGCTGGCACTCAGTGTTCCAGTCTGCTCTGCTGTGTTTTCGGTGATGGGAGCTGATGCAGACGGGCTGCTCTGGACTGAGATCCTCCAATGCCATGTTAATCCACGCCACACCACGAGTCAGCGGCTCCATCAGGTCGACCAGCCGGAACGCTCTGCCCTCAATGTGCCAACGCCGCTGTGACAGAGACACAGAGAGAGGGACGGAGCGAGGAACAGAGACTAAGGAGGGAAGGAAGGGCGGGAGTTACAGGCAGCAGGACATGTAACATAAACTATAATCACAGCAGCTCAAACTCACACACACACTCACACACACACATTGGCTTTAGCAATCAATCAGTCTCCCAGGTTGGTATTCAGGAGCATCCAGAGGTGTGTCAGGTGGAGAGAAAAATGATATGTATGAGAGTAGCAGAGGGGGGTCAAACAAATGATGCCAAAGCTCAAGGACACACAGATGAGGCAGGGGTGTGTGTACAGGTGTGAGATTTGAGTCTTTTGAGTGTGAGCGAGTGCTTTCGTTTAGATTCATATATTCTATCATGTCATGTGTGAGTTTGTGTGTCTGAGGCTGAGCATGCCTCCCTTTCAGGGCTGTTGAGCCAACTCTTTGTCTCTGCCCTGCAGCGACTTGTGTTGTAACAAATGTTGTCAATTTTACAAATTGTCACGGCTAAGAATAGCTAGGAGTCAATCAGATGGGTGACAGTGAGGCTCAATTTCACAGTCAGTAGACAGTCAGGACACACACACACACACACACACACACACACACACACACACACACACACACACACACACACACACACACACACACACACACACACACACAAACCTGTACTGAGAGCAGCATGGGCTTCTAAAACACGTTTTTTTCGACATCTTACCATATGTGAATTTTTTAGTGAATGATTTGAGTTCTGAAATTAAAGTCAGAATATAATTTTCTCTCACAATTGTGAATCATTTCTCAGAATCCTGACTTAAATATAAAAACTCTTTTTTTAATTCTCCTAAACAATTCACACGTGGCCCTAATCTTCTTCATTACATTCAATTGAGTTTTAAGGGAAATCTTTTCAACCGGATTAGTAAGGAGCACGAGGTGGACTTCGCCCAGGAGAGTCGTGAAATTAATTTTCTTAATTTTAATTGACTTCCAAAACGTAAATGACATAACAAGCCAACACTTTTTAAGCCAAACCAGGGTGTTTCACTTAACTTGGCCAAGTAGTTTTGTTGCACTTTTGTTTAGTTTTCTTTAAATTGTTAAAGGAAAAATTAAAAACTGCCATCCGATAGAACTAAAAATGTTCTCATAACATAATACAATGTAGAGAACATACTTTTTAGGACACAGGGTCGTCCAGAGATCCACACCAATAAGAGTATAACACACTTTGACTTGTATCGACTTCCCTATAACACACACATTTGTTTGGCTATGTGACTCAGTGTGTGTCACAGTAAAGTCTGAATGATCCTGAGGCTCTACCTGCAGACCTGCTCAAAGTATAGTTTGCATTGCAGGTTATTGAAACACACATATGAGCAGTGCTTGTTTTGCCACAGATGTTAACTTTGCTGTTTAAATATATACAGCCGGGTTGATGTGTGGCAGGGCCGGGATGGTAAAGAGAAAGAAAGTGAAATGGGAGAGGCACTGTCAGCCATGGCAGATCTGAACCAGGGTGACATTTATTCTGTAAATAAATACAACGCTTGTGGGGTTGGAGTGGTCTGCAGAATATTTTAAAGTGTGTGTGTGTGTGTGTGTGTGTGTGTGTGTGTGTGTGTGTGTGTGTGTGTGTGTGTGTGTGTGTGTGGCTGTGAGTGGAACCATGAGAGTGGAACCCCTCGCTGAGCACTCAGAGCTCTCATCACGGTGGGGGTTTGAAGAGGTGGGCTACTCCGCTCCTCCTCCTCCTCCATCCCTCCATCCTTCCCTCTATCAGCTAACATGTTGAGAGGTGACCCCTTGAGAGCTTTCCTACATATGGACGAACCAACAACTCGGCTGTAATGGGCTCGACTCCTTGCCACTACGGGGGAGTGTTGAGATGGCCGAGCCTCTGCTCTCCTCCCTGGGCGGAGAGTGTGTAAGGAAGCAAGAGAAAGAAAGAGAGAGTGAGATTGAGTGCCCTGTACAAAGAGCTTGTATTATTAATGAAATCACCCTGGCAGATGGGTCTTATCTTGGAAGTGTCCCACAACCACAGAGATTTGCAGCTGGCTCACATGCACACATACTTTCCCCCTCTCTTGTTAAGTGTGCCCCTGACAGTCGATCCCTCCTGTTTCTCACCCTTTTCTCTCCTTATCTTCCTTTCTCTCCTACGCTTTTATTCATAGAAAGAGTTGGCCGAGGCGTCCGGGCTTTCAGGCCAAAACGACTGCTATGCCCCCCCCATCTCCCATCTCCCTTCCCCATTCCTTCCTCTGTTCACATCAGGGTTTGTCCACACCTCGAGCAACAGCCTTTATTCCAGGCTGAACTCCTCCGGCCTGCAGTTTGACGAAGAGCTTGTCGTGTCGTAACCCTCCGTCTTACAAAGGGACAAAGATGGGAGTTAGAGATTCAAATGTTCCGC